AATTCCTAACTCTGATCGAAAAGTTGACCAAAACGCCCTCGGGCCCACGTGCCCGGAATCCGAAATTTCTCGAAGATATACTCTACCCATAGCTTCACTAGCTCAAATATACAATTTACTCCTAATTCCATGCTCAAATTCGTGGTAAAATCCAATTTATCAAGTTTCTAGGTTTTCTTCCAAAAATCCCAATTTTCCCACAATTTTCATGTCTAATTCCACGATATAATCTCGTATTTAACTTGGAAATGAGTAGGAGTAACTTACCTTAACATCGATGACGAAATCCCTTCTTGGAGCCCTCCAAAAATCGCCCCAAGCCATGAAAAATATGAGAGAAATAAACTCAACCCCGATTTTAAACAACCATTCTGCCCCAGCTATTTTTGCTTCTGCGGAAATATTTCCGCTTCCGCGGTCCCGCTTTTGCGGATAAAACGTCGCTTCTGCGGACACTGGGCTCCAGCCCAATTTTCGCTTCTGCGGACGGCCCACCGCTTCTGCGGTTCCGCTTTTGCCGATCTAGGGCCGCTTCTGCGGTCCGCCCTATGCTGCCCTTCTTCGCTTCTGCGATGCCCCTCCGCAGGTGCGGTTCCGCTTCTGCGGAAACCTTACCGCATCTGCGAACCACTCTGAGCCGACCTCATCCGCTTCTGCGACCTCTTCTCCGCAGATGCGGTCCCGCTTCTGCGGAACCTTGACTGCATCTGCGGTCCTCGAACCCTTGACCAAAAATCGCATCTGCGCTTTCCTAGCCGCACCTGCGGCCCTTTTCCGCATGTGCGGTTATGACAACAACCAGCAGTTCAGCCCTCTTTCTAACTCCAAATTCGATCCGTTAACCATCCGGAATCCACCCGGGGCCCCCGGGACCCCAACTAATCCTACCAACCTGTCCCACACATTACGGACTTGCTCGAGGCCTCAAATCACATCAAACAACGCTAAAATCATGAATCGACCCCCAATCCAAGCTTTGTGAACTTTAGAACTTCCAACTTCTACTTTCGATGCTTAAACCTGTCAAATCGCGTCCGATTGAACTCAAACTTTGCGCACAAGTCATATTTGACATTACCGACCTACTCCAACTTTCGGGATCGGATTCCGACCCCGGTATCAAAAAGTCCACCTCCGGTCAAACTTCTCAAAAACCTTCAAATTTCTATCTTTAGCCAAATGGCTCCAAAATGACCTACGGACCTCCGAATTCACTTCCGATCGCGCTCCCAACTCCAGAATCACCATACAGAGCTATTCCCAGACTCAGAATCCCAAACGGACATCGATAACACTGAAATGCACTTCAAGACAAACTTAAGAAATTTCTTCCAAAATGCTAACTTTCACAATAGGGGCCAAAACGCTCCCGGATTATTCAAAACCCAAACCGGGCATACGCTCAAGTCCGAAATCATCATACGAATCTGCTGGAACCTTCAGATCCTGATTCTGAGGTCATTTACTCAAAATTCCAATCCTAGTTCATTCTTTCAACTTTAAGCTTCCGAAATGAGTATTCTCTTTCGAAATCAACTCTGGACTTCCCGAAATTCGATTCCGACCACGCGTACAAGTCATAATACCTGAAATGAAGCTGCTCATGGCCTCAGGCTGCTGAACGGAGCGCTAGAACTCAAAACAACCGGTCGGGTCGTTACATTCTCTACCACTTAAACATACCGAACGTGCTGAGAACTACACTGAAGTAGTCTGAAATCACTGTTTAACACCTTATGCACCTTCCCGTGCTACTGCGCTCAGTTGAGCGCATTCGCTCGATCAATTCCGAAGATATTTCCTTTTATTCAAGCAGATAGGCCTTAGAGCCAAATTCCAACATCCGGAACTCTCTGTCAGGCCTGTTTCTAACCTACGAACACTGTATCAATCACCACACGTTGTACCCAAACATGACTGCATAACTTTGCTGAATTCACACCTTGCATCATTTTACTCACCGGACCACAATAACATTTTTTGATCAACTTAGTCGAAATTCCACGAATCCGATGCTCCCATTGCACCCCACGACATACACAGGTCTTACTCTAACTCTTACAATACCGCCACAACGGAAGAGATGTGCAGAAATTCATAATCAAGTGCCGAGTCGACCAATCATTGAGTCTATACTTCAGACAATAAACATTACCATATTCTGACCCAAATAATGATCTTTGCTCCTTAATATATTCCATACAGTCAGATTGCACTGATCCTGAATCCAATGATCTCATCTCACCCAGTACGAACTGCTCAGGCAATAAGCCACCCCGGACATAATCAAAGTCACAAATGATGCCACAATGTGCCAATAGGCTACCAATTCGAACACGATACAATGAAAACGAACTCTGGAAAGGAAATCCAATTACCCCGCTCGCGAATCATACATGCAACGCGGGCAACATTCTAAATAGACAACCCGCTCGCGAATCATACATGTGATGTGGGCTCACGGCTAATACGAGCTTTCCTCAGAAAAATAGGAAGCGAGACATACAAAAATAGCATATGGAAAACTATACTCACATCACACTATTGCGGCGCGCAACTCAATCCAAACATAGATCTCACATAAGGAGTTCGCACATCGAGCTAAATTTGCTCATTGCAATAAAATATCGAATTTCGGTCACAAGCACGCTAGGTGCATAATACCATCCCTGGGGAGACATATAGTGCCATAAGCAACAAAACTCAAGCACAACTGAGGTGCGATATACAATTTGAAATCTCAAAAGCCATCCTGTTCATATAACATCATCTCTACGCGGCCCCTCAACACATAAGCAGTTTCTCAAGCCGCCTCCAAACTCACACGGCGCATCATATCCCTACATGAAATATCTGACAACAAAACAACACCCTGACTACTCCTCCACAAGGAGCACATTACTAAAATGAACACGTTTGGCCTGATATAGAGCCCATGTTCACATTTGAATCCATCCACCGACCTCAAGCCGAGTCTGATCGTACCAAACTAGTCCAACGACCCTTCAAAGGCCCATACTAACTTCCCTTTTCTCATAACACACGAGAACAACTATCACAACAGGAGGAATCCTCCGCAGTCCACCACTCCATAACTGAGTGCCCTCTAGGCACCTATTCTCAAATCAACGATATTATCACAACCTCCATACCTGGTTTAAGTCTTTAATCGATCCAAAGACTACCTGCCACACTTATACAATCTTCCTGTGGGACATACTCCCACAACCTACCATAACAAATAACTGGGTCGTACCTCCAAACCACCGACCGCACTAACGCTGAAAAGCGATCAAGAATGATTAACCAGGATGCAAAGACCTTTTCACAACACACCGATCTTAGGGGACGCTGAAGACAATACCAACTTACCTTAAACACTGAACTCCTTTCCCGCTCATCTGAGCTTGTGACATCCTTGTCAACATCGAACTGCTACCTTGTTCTTCACTTCAAATTCCATACCACTCACTGCACTTAACATTCCAATATACTTTTTCATCATAGATTCGGAACCACTAATAGGTTAGCACTTCATCATATAAAAAGCTTTTCACTTAACTCACTTCAGGAGAACCATAGCAACACACAGGTGAATTCTCATAACTGTAGAACATGAAGATCTCAAAGTAGTGGTCTAAGCCACCATACCCCTTCCGGAATCCGCTTCCACATGACAAGCCATAACAGAAGAGTGCCTCTAAATAGCATCAATTGCAGCGGCTGACAAGCCTGATACGTACCATTCCAAATCACTTGCATAACTCAATCACGCTGAGGAAACGGATCACTAACACCAATATGCCAAATTCAATTATGGCCAATCAATCTACCTTCTTCCAATTTATCCTTGATTGCCTTAGAGATAATACTAACTCCGTCCACACATAACATACTCCATCTGCACTCATCTCGAGTGACCCTGCATCACGAAACTAAGCTGTCACAAATCCCCTGAACCATTTCATACCTTCCTTGTGCGCACATCCGCACCCCAACTGATAGGCCCATTCTGCAAATCCATCTACGAATCCGAAGTCCTTTCTCATCTTTCTCTCAAGAGCTACACTGCAAGCCAAAATATCATAGAACATTCTGGGCCTCCACTCGTAAGCTGCTGCAAAAGCTTGACTCTTAACTGTACTTATAGGCTCGAAATCATTAGGCACCACACTCTACCTCTTTTGGATCCATCAGGACCGTTACTGAGAGCCACCCGCTCTGACTTGGTCCCGAATATAATCAACTTCATAAATCTTATAACGCATGAATACCCTCTCGACGAGGCACCCGGCGGAATCACTTCCTTTGAAACTCGCATTTATACAAGGCATAAATCCTAAGTCCTTCCCCAAGTCTAAACATGGGCCAATAAGGCCAACGATAGCCCACCTTTAATAATTCCTTTGCTCAACTAGCCACTTATGGCCCTTTTCCCGTAGCTGGAACAGCTCATCAATATGCTAATAACCAGAAACCTAGCAAGTAACTAACTATGCAACCCAATCATAGGCGGTGGGACTCTCCCACTTAGTTTGAAGCCATTATTTCACAAATCTGGAACTCACCCGTCCTCTTTATCTCTTATTGACATAGCCTTGCGCAATCAACTGCCAAAATTCTCGAAATCTTTTTGTAGAACCCCCTTCTTATATTCTGACTCATAAAACACATTTGCACAACCGATCTCTTCGCTATATAACCGATAGAATTCTTCGCAGAAGCCTTGCCAATCACGCGACTGCTAACCTGCTCACTTGGGTAACCCACCTATAAAAGCT